GAGCGGTTTTTTTGGTAGCATGCAGACGTAGTGAATATTACAGATGATATTCAGTAATGGCGTCCTGGGGGTGGATGAAATGCTCGGGTCGATAGAAGGAAGGCTTGTCTACGAAACGCATTTACTCTTTCGTCTTATTGCCAATGATCATCCCCACCTACAATGGCCTTTTCTACGGTTTATCCCCAGGGATGTAATCCACACACTCAACCCTATAAATATGTATAATCAATTATACTCAAAAGAAGGTAAATATACACAATTTATTTCCTCAACAAACTAGTTTTTAAAGAAGTTTATGTAAAAATGTGTAGTTTTAAGAAAATCAATACAAGATGATTTAATACAAAATAACAGCTTTTATCTAGGGAATTTCAGTATTTTCGTATTACAACATGTCGGTAAAGTCAATTGCGAGATGAAGATACAAAGTAAAAGATGACATCATTAATAGCAATGTCTATTTATAAAAATAAAATACTTAAATTAATTCTTTATAAAAAAGATGTTAAAAACATTATTCAGTAATAATATATTTTGTAAAGACAATTTATTCGATATAAAATTTAATTTAAGCTATATTGTATAACTGTGTAGTGACGATGTCAATAAGATCAAGAGATGATAATGTAAATTTAATTTTAAAGAATTATTCTATATCTTAATTAAAATATTTATTTCATATATATAACATTTATTTTTATACTAATTTTATACTACATATAATTTATTTACTAAGTAATTTATATTATAATTCTTTTCCAATGTGTGTGTTAGGTAAAAAAATTTATGGATATATAAGAAAGATTTTAGAATATAACATCATTTTTATTTTAAATTCATTAAATTAAATTTCTATTCTTTCTATTTTATTACAACTCTTTACTACTAATTTGAGAGAGGGGGAGATTTGATACATCACATAATAATAATATGATTCTTAAAAGATACAATTTCTATGTCAGTAGCTAAGTTAGCTCTTTACAAGCTAAAGAATACAAAATCTCGAGTAAGTCAGATCTTTCAGATTTTTTCCTTAATCCGGATCAAGACCTCGAGGAGCCATCGTTTAAGAGGATTAACATCATCACCCAGTTTAAGAAAGGACTTCTAATATTCCTAATAACTCAAAATCTCGTCTAAAGTTTCCTTTACAAAAGAAAACAAATTTATATAAATATTGTGACACGTCTTCTCTATGATGGTCACCGCATCCTTTTTTTGCTAAGCTATATAGATATTTTAAAGCCAAATAAACATTTTCTATTTATCTAATATATGATATATTATCGTCACAAAACGTATTATTTATAAAATATACTTTACATTTTTCTTGTAATATCAATATTGTTATGATAAAAATATTTATATATTTATTTCACACATTATTTGCATGTAGACGATCAGCAACATGACCAAGTAACCTGGAAATGAAAGGTACTTCGACACGCGTGCAGGAATAAAAGGAGCTGTACCGCTAAGAAGACGAAGAAGAAGAAGAAGAAGGAGAAGAAGAAAACCAAGGAGAATGCGACCTTGCTACATTCAGCTGTGTCATCCTTGAGCCGTTAACGCTCAGGTGGTTTCGATCCCAGGAACGAGCATCAATCATCATCGGTAGTGCAGGTGTAATGTGATCATTGTCACCGAGATAACCGAGTACGATATTCACTTACGAAGCGTGTCAAGTGACATAATAGAGTTTATCTATAACAGTGTATCTAAATACTGAAAGAAACGGCTTCAATGTTTGTGCCTCTCGATAGTATATTATTTGTTAGGGCAGGTCTTTACGACGAGAGTCGGGCAGGGCATTACGAAACAATCATCCATTTATATGTTGCAGATATTACGCACAAAGTTAAGATTGCATATATTTCTGTTTAATTTATATAGTTTTTTTTATACTTCTTTTTTTTTACAAGATTTTCTTTAATAAAGAAACAAATTAAGGCTATGATATCAAATAACATAAAAATTAATATTATATTTGTACGGATGACAAAACATAACGCAAAATCTTGCATTAAAAATATTATGTGAGAAATGTGGCAGCAATCATTAAAAAATTAAGAATAATAATAAAAATGAGAAAAGAAGCAATGCGTTTTTAACCGATTACAATTCAAGAAACTAACTTGCATAGAAATGTATAAATGAGGAGAAACTTACTTTCACTGATAATTATAGACTCGTATTAATTTCCTTGTAATGTTTTTAAATAATTTTTAGAAATTAATTACATTAAAAAAATATTAGGTACATGTAAAACACTAATTGCAATTAGTTTTGTTGGTTTGATATTTTTATTGCGACGAGATATTAAAGTTTACGCAGAGTTTAATAAAAACGGATTCTGCTTTGCTTTCTTGAGGAGAGGCCCAAGTTATTTTCGTATGACTAAGCATTTTATATGCAGGCGTGTTACAATTTGAGATTAACGATAATTTATAATTCCAACAAGTATTTTTTGTAAATATATACGCGCTTTAACACAATATAAAGCGTTAAAAAATAATATGCATGTTAAAAAAATATGCATGTTTATATAAAGGGTTGCGATACTTGAATAGAAGATATAATATATTTTTAACGAGGGAATTAAAACGGGGAGTTTATATTAATAATATTTATATTAGCATTGATAAGTTTGATATAGAAACAAATAAAATTATGCATATAAATGTATTTATAGTCAAAATTATAAAAACTGGTATTAATAGGGAAATATTTTCAGGTTCCTAAATGGTACCTGACGTGAAGTCTCTACCGAAGATCACATACTGGGCGGATAAAGAAGTTAAGACCGGCACGTACGTTAAGCATTTTTAATAGATAAGAGAACAAACGATAGATGAACGATGTGCCATACAAGAGAAAGCCCAGTTAATGCTCTACATCTACCCTGTAGATCCGAATTTGTTTGATAAGAGGCGACAAATTCGGTTCTAGAGAGGTTTGTGTGGTGCATACAAAGCAACGGTGATCTTTGAATGAATGTATCAATAGAATTATAGATATAAATCTACATACAAAACACACAAAAAAAAAAGAACGCACACACACACACACACACACACACACACACACACACACACACACACACACACACACACACACACACACACACACACACACACACACACACACACACACACACACACACACACACACACACACACACACACACACACACACACACACACACACACACACACACACACACACACACACACACACACACACACACACACACACACACACACACACACACACACACACACACACACACACACACACACACACACACACACACACACACACACACACACACACACACACACACACACACACACACACACACACACACACACACACACACACACACACACACACACACACACACACACACACACACACACACACACACACACACACACACACACACACACACACACACACACACACACACACACACACACACACACACACACACACACACACACACACACACACACACACACACACACACACACACACACACACACACACACACACACACACACACACACACACACACACACACACACACACACACACACACACACACACACACACACACACACACACACACACACACACACACACACACACACACACACACACACACACACACACACACACACACACACACACACACACACACACACACACACACACACACACACACACACACACACACACACACACACACACACACACACACACACACACACACACACACACACACACACACACACACACACACACACACACACACACACACACACACACACACACACACACACACACACACACACACACACACACACACACACACACACACACACACACACACACACACACACACACACACACACACACACACACACACACACACACACACACACACACACACACACACACACACACACACACACACACACACACACACACACACACACACACACACACACACACACACACACACACACACACACACACACACACACACACACACACACACACACACACACACACACACACACACACACACACACACACACACACACACACACACACACACACACACACACACACACACACACACACACACACACACACACACACACACACACACACACACA